GCCACATACCCATCGACCAGACTAAATTGCTGTGGCTATTTATAGTCGCATCGACTAGCATGACGTCTAGACACTAAAAGGGCTCCTATGAGAAGCCTTTTTTGGACGGAACCTGCCCTCAATCGGTCACACTGAAGCAGACAAATGGCAGTCACCGACCCACGACGGGCATGACAGCCAGAATCGCCCCCAGGCAAACAGACTGGCCGGATCCTGCGCCATCGACCTTTTTCCCCACTAAGCCAGGGCCACTCGCATCCAGTGAACGTTTCCAGCATGCTCTTAGGTGATGACTCAGCGTTTACTGCGCATCCAATGCTGTAACTTATTTTCTGTGCATTCCCGCACCAACTTTGCCTTTGGAGGAAAAGGAATCTATTCTCAACCGCCGTCGCAGGCAGTTCTTGAAGGTGCTTATCTATCACTATTCCTACAGAGTGTAGTCTTTCACTGGAACATGATGATGTCAGAGAAGAAAAGAGCCGACGCCTTCACAACGACCGAAATATCAGCTCTCTGGGCTATGAATGTACGCTCACGTATGCAGGAGTTGTACTGACTTCCAAAATCTCCGATCTGCAGAGGGCTTTAAGTCTCACGTAACATTCTACAACTTGGCAAGGCAATCCCAGCAACGCAGAAATCTTCCAACCCATACCCGACAGAATTTGGAACAATAATGAAACGACAGTATGTTATAACCGACAAAGAAAAGGGAGACTGGGATGGCCATTTCTGGCTTATTAGCAGTCGTCAGTCAGTCATACCCAACCCCGAAGTGTGGAACACCCGAGACTCGAACGCGCGATATTGCCTTTATCATGCGCCGCTGTGCGGCTGCTGGTTGCGCTCGAGTGAGAGTCCGTAAGGCGGAACGATTGAGTTCCGTAAGAACGATCGGTGAGCGCCCCCTACCATTGTATATTCCCGATCGAAACCGACAAGGCAACGGGCTCGTGCTCCAGTGGTTAGAGGCGTGGACTTCTAACTAACAGGTCGCGAGTTCGCGCCTCGGATGTTCCATACGTCGGGGTTGGGTATGACTGGCTGACGACGGCCAATAAGCCAGAAATGGCCATTCCAGTCTCCCTTGTCTTTGTCGGTTATAACATACTGCCTATATCATACGCCGCTTTGCGGCTGCTGGTTGGGATCGAGAGAGAGCCTATAAGGCTCAGCGGAACGAGTGAGTTCCGTAAGGACGATCGGTGAGCGCCCTATACCAAAGAAATGACTATTCTTAAGGGAAGGCTCGCGCAGGTCTGTAAATTATTATTCAACAGTTGTGTCAACCCCCCCTTTACAGGAACACCTAACGTGTGATGTGGGACTCGGTCGTGCGCGTTGCACGCGTAAACGGGCTTTCTAGTTCTGTCTGCCACTGCGCCCAATCTCAGCATCAGTTGATTGGCTCGAAGAGGAGACTGGCGTTGAGAGAGGGACGACAGAGAGAGTGAAGTCGGCAGTCTCAGTGCATATTTTTTCAGCACATTTAGTCTGACCCGCTTGAATATATTACAGTTCGTCCCAAAGCGTGGCTTAGAAGGCCACCAACTGATGGGGATAACTCGGTTCTCCTCTCAGAACTAGGAGTCCGGCACCAATGGCCCCTTCTTAGTGTTGCCTTATGGGAACTCCCACTCAGTCGGTGTCTGAACCGTCCTCCCTTTTTTATTGCGTGAAATCCCCGTCCTACGTGTGTGGACAACGGGGTGCCGTTGCACGCCTAGTGGCAGATTCACGCCGTACCAGCCATCTACCCCTTCTCCGCCCCCCGGTCTTCTTGACTGTGTCATGACACCAGGCTCTGGTGGGAAAGGAGGAGGAGAGAGTGCCGTAGATGCAGCACAAGTCTACAATCACTATAAACTAATCCACGCGCAAGTCCCCGTTCCTGGCCCCGCCCCCCTCCCGCACTGTGGCGCACACGATGAACATTTCTGTACGCGATGGACGCACTGCCATTCAGCAGCTAGGGTGTTGCGGAATAAGGACTTATTACCTGTGAATAATGCTTCGCTAACCACAGCGGCGCATCAGAATAAGGGAAAAAGTAGCACAAGGGGTTTTAGCACTTTTTGAGGACGGACATGGGAATTAGCAACCCTCACATTCGTATCACAGATGGTGTTACGACAAACTACAGAAAGGTTCCCCTTTTCCGCGTCTTAACTGTACACCTGTCAGCCCTCATAGCTTCGCCCTCATGGAATTTAGCTCAAGCCCACTTGTAATACGGGAGAATACGTAGTTCCGTGCTCTACCCTTTGAGCATTTTCCACCTGCGTGTGCTAGCCAACTTTTTCACAGTGGTTCTGCCAATTTTATCATTAAACTCGTTGTAAAGGTCTTATTACATAGATTTTT